CACACACACACACACACACACACACACACACACAATAAACCATTTTTAAAAACCCCTTGAAAAAACTTAACGTCTTGAAAGCCAAAAGGCATTTTAAAAACTACTATATTATTATGTCCCTCTACTTTCAACACAACACCAGTGCTGGAGACAATGAGACAGTCTTCTTGTCTCGGCGACATGTCCTCTTACCGTACCCTGGAAAGACACATAGACATGTGTGGGAAGCAGATGCATCAGAGAATGGGACCTTACCTCAGAGAGTATGACATGACAGGGGAAACCCCAGAACATGATGTGTTTTGCCCGTAAGTTATTACTAAAATAATATGTTTTTTTTGGTTTTTTTGGTTTGTTTTTTTCCTCCCTCGATGTCGGCTATTGCTCCAATAGAACACAGAAGGTCATTTTAAACACCATAATATTTGCTATCATAGTTTTTGTGATCGTTGTTTTTGCCGCTATTGTTGTTGATATCGTCGTTAACGTGGGAAGACAGACAGACAGACAGACAGACAGACAGACAGACAGACAGACAGACAGACAGACAGACAGACAGACAGACAGACAGATAGACAGATAGTTAAATAGATAGATCGATAGATATATAGATATATAGATAGATAGATAGATAGATAGATAGATAGATAGATAGATAGATAGATAGATAGATCGGACAGATAAACGCTGAAAGTCTTTATATCAATTATCTAAAAAATAAAACCCCAGTCTTAATCAATTTAATCATCGTTGATGTTTCTGACACAACTTCCCTCCTTCTCATCAACGTTCACCCAATTGCACAGTTGTGAAAACACGTTTTACTCCGTCTCTAACACCTAGCAAGACATAAAAATGTGCAGTGCACGCACCTTCTCTGTGACGCCTAAATTTGGGATTTGGTGTGTGTGTGGGGGGGGGGGGGTTGGGAAGGGCGGGGGAGAAGGTGAGAAGAAACATAATTGTACTTAATAGACAGCATTTAGTACAGCGCAAATTCCAGCTCAACAGCATGCTGGAGGATCAGGAGGAGGAGGAGGACGAGGAAGATTAAAGGGAGGATGAGGTAAAACAGAAGAGGGATTATAATGGACGTGTATATAAAACGCTACTTCAAAGTTCTCTTTTACTTTTATGAGTAGTTAAAAGAATCTATGGGAAAACGATAAATGACTATCTGAAAAAGAGGGTTACCTATATTTTTTCCTTTGAAGATACGAATAAAAAGATAGATAAATTAAATAGTTACATTCATAAATAAAATACTTACTCTACTTTTAGAAATACAATCGTTCGACTCAACTGTATATCGTCCCCAAGCGTTTCAAATGTATAAGATTAAAAAAGCAACACTTTACAGTAGAGAGAAAAAAAAACCCAACAACCTTGTTTAACTCTTTTTAACACATGAAATTCCTATTCGTTTGTTTTGTTTTGTTTTCCGCATTTAAAATTTAGAATTCGGCTAAATATATCGACTTCACATTATAAAAAAAATAATAAAATAATAATAATTTTAAATAACGAACACTCCCACCACCACTTGCCCCCCTCCCCCCTCCGCAAAATACCAATCCCTCATCCTTCAAAAAGAACAAAAAACAAACAAAACAACCTACAGTTGTTTTTTTAAAAAATCCAAATTATGGGCTTAGTATACTTAAACAGCTGGCTGACGCAGGGGCGAAGCGTCTATATAATCAAATAATCACTGCTTCCCTTCCTAATTTTGAAACATTGTCGCTGTCAAATTCAGCCATAAACGTAAACCTCTTAAATTAAATGTCAAAAGACGTTCGTAATCAACAATGAACAGTATGCCTAACATTCAAAACGGTTTCACGGCCACAGAAATAGCCTCCTCACCCCTCTCGGGCCACTCCATAAGCAGTCGCAAGCTTTGATTAAGTAAGCTTAAAGTGAGACTGGAAGAGTCCACCAATATAGTTGAAGGGAACATGTGCATAGCAGTCTAAGCTGTTTCATTGCCACATATACCCTGTTCACCCCTTTGGGGTCACAGTTAAAATCAATCTCAAGCCCTGGTTATGTAAGCTAACTAACACTGGTCGAGTCTACCTCACAAATGTGAGGGGAACTAACTCCTAACAATCTCTTCACTGTTGCAAGTACTTGCTTTTTTTCCTCGACTTTTTACCGTCCTATAATCAGATCGTGACCTCGATTATGACACCAGCTCCTGGCCGCGGAAGGCTAACAAAAACAGCCAAATGTAAAATTTTAAAAATGATAATTGTCATGTTCTACCAAAGAGTTAGACTCACTGGTAGATCTATAACATAATAATATAGATCTAGTACTGACGTCTCTGCTTCTTTGCTTTGTGTTTATGTATTCACATCTAAAGTTAAATTTAATTTTAATTGGAACTGATATTTAATAAGATACTTTCCCGATTATTTTGACGGTTGAACATACATTATGAATTCCGGATTTGTTTTCATTTACAACTCAGAGTCGCCGCCTCGAGTAAGATTCTTGTGTCATATCTACAGGCCATATCTGGTCCCGTTTCACTTTGATTACCCTGTCAAACAAGTCAGCCTTCGCCCCTGGGCTGACGACATGTTTCATAATATGACATGTATGTATCTTTTCTTTCACCTGTGCCATTGCTTTCCTCAGGCTGTTGGCCGAGGCACAAGAATGCTTTGTGGGCGGCACTGCCAATTTGTGTGGCGAGGCGTTTGGGCAATTCCTAAACCCAGTTTGGGAGACCTATGTATCTTACATATTCAGGAGAGTAGGCTGTTATGAAACTTTACGACGAGCAAGTAAGTTCACATCATCGTCATCATCATCATCATCATCATCATCATCATCAACATCAGTGTATAAAGAAGGTATTAAAACAGTTAAGACCTTGTTATGTTTCCAGGAAATATATATTATACACAGTTCAACGTTTCGCCCTCAACGGGCTTCCTCAGGAACATTCACAAAAATAACTGGCAAGAATCTAGATATACACAGGCTATAAAAACTAAAGTGCGTACATACATGTCTTAACATATAAAGGAGCGGTGAGTACAAATCGCATAGGCCAGAGAGAAGGGAACACTAAAGCCAGAAGTGGTTGAGAGAGAGAGGGGGAGGGGGAGGTGCGTGGAAGTAAGGAATATAATAACAGAAGGGTGCGGTGAACACAAATCATCATCATCATCATCATCATCATCATCATCATCATCATCATCATCATCATCATCATCATCATCATCATCATCATCATCATCATCATCAACTTTCAGATGGTAAGGTAAAAATATGCATTCTTGGGTAGTTCACGAAAATATTATTGTTATTATTAATCATTATTATTATTATTATTATTATTATTATTATTATTATTATTATTATTATTATTATTATTATTATTATTCTTCTTCTTCTTCTTCTTTTTCTTCTTCTTCTTCTTCTAAATGTATTTATCATT